TTATCTGATTGGTTTGATTGTGTGATTCTCGACTTTCCAAAAGCACCCAGCACGGAGCCTACCATGAGTTCCCGTATACTGGGTCCGGGCAGTCCCCTCTCAACTGCATCGAGCTGCCTCAACTCGCTGGAGTTGAGTTCTTTGCCTTTATCACGAGAGTGGGGTAGTATCGCGTGGTTACAGTAGATGTGTGCTGTGTATTCCGCGAGGTTTTTGAACACCTTATAGCACATAGAATTTGCAGCACTTTTCGATACGTCATCCTCGTTTTTGCTCCTACCACTCTGTTTCCAGGAATCTTTGAAACGCATAACAATTGCATCAATCCAACTTGAGCTTTCAGTTTTACTGGCATCATAGAGGCACAAGAATGGGTCTTTTGTATCCACTGTCAATCCACTGGACGTTTTAATTTCCTTAAAGTAGGCAAGTCTGTTTAAAAATATCAGTTCAGGTACATGATGTGTAAAAACATGAGTTTCTTGCATGAGAAGATTGTCTGATTTAAACTTGGCACAGCAAAATACACATTTCAGTGGATTGCGATGTGGAGAATGAGCCGATATTAGATGAGCAATTAAATGGGCTCTCGAAGGCAGAACTCGACCCCTACAAAAGATGCAGACAAGAGGGCTTCCCACAGTATTCATAAGCGCTTCCACCTCAGAGACCTGTGTAATGTGCTTGACAAAGCATCGATGGCGCAGGACTGTTGTGCAGTTCATTTCTGCAGCACACAATTTGCATTCATAAAGCGGCACCTTCTTGTACTTATCTACCTTTCCCACAAGGTGCTTGTGATCAGAAAGGTGTGCGTGTAGTACGGAACGCGTTTTAAAATCAACTCCACATACCACGCAGATAGTGGGCTCCGTTTCCACCACACTAGGATTGACAGAAGGCCAGGGCTTCTTTCCAATCAGCACTTCGGTGTCTGCATGAATCGAGAGGATGGGATCAGGCGAGAAATCTGCCTTTGGATGCGAGTATGAGCGTCTGCAATGGTGAATTGGTCTCGGTTCAATGGACTTTATGGTCTCGACACTAAAACGAAGTGAAACGTTTCGTGACCCTCTTGGCATCTCCTGTCACCTGTAGTAAAAGTAGGAACGATGTACACTAAGAAGAAGAGGAGGATATTTATTGATCTTGTGGATTCACTTTTGGACACGTGCAATCGGACGTGTCGGGATACACGTGGCAAGCATAGGTCACGTGAAGCATGCGAGTCTTACTATTCTCGAAGTTTATTAATATGTGGCTGAGGTTCATGGATCACCATAAGCGCATTAATTAGAACTGGAAATACCTGATAATCCGATTGATTTGCCAATAAATGGACTTGCCAAATAAGGGAGACGGTTGTAAACCAAAGAATGGTGAAAAATATATTAACCAATAAACTGACACTGCACAAACAGCAATAACTGCAAAGTTTAGTCACAAGGGAAACGGTGACTATTTAAAAAATACTCACGCAAATGAATGTTTATATTGTGCACAGCCCGACAGCACTGCGAGGCATT